AGCTCGATTCATCTCGCGCATCCTGCTCGCGACAAGGACGATTATTAAGCGTAGCTTTCCATCGTCGCGATTTTTCCATAGAGTTCATGCGGTATCGAGCAAAATCCCGCCGCCGCCCGATCGTAGATCATTCTAACTATAAGGAAGCACGGGACTCGCGTTGACAGCGATTTATGAACGATGCTGATCCAATTACTCACAGAAACACATAAATCAAATGTTGAAATTAATTTGCTGATAAATAAGAAAGCTGTGAGGTTGCAGATGTTCATGACTTTTCGAAGGGCTATTATCAATTTGGCTAATACAGTACAAGATAATATTCTCGTTGTTTATATAATTGCTATAAATTATATTATAAATTTTGTACGCATCGTGATATTTCGAATATTGGTCAGAAATCTTGTATCAGACTGTGAACTTTAAGATATACCTGGACAATATTTTCAAACATATTTTATTTTCTTATTTTTATAACATTCTAACATTCGATTTCCTTGCTAATTTCAAATTCTTTGTTCTTCAAATATTCCGATGATTTTAAATGACAATTTATTTATGAAATCGTTTTTACGTATATATATGTGAATCTGATGTGAATCTAATTTTATAAAAATTAAAAATTAATAATATATTTGTTTACCTAATAAATTTATTTGTCGTGTACCTAATAAAATTCAATTTTTAAGAAAATTCGAAATGTGGCAGTACTCTTTCGACGATGTGCTCTAGTAATTTAGCTATACTCTTTCATGATCTGTAGAAACTTTATAATCAGGAGTTGAACTGTCAATTCACATAATTTGAGTCAATTTCGCCAAGAGACCATTTTTCGTGCCAAATGTGCGAAGTCTTTCAACATTCATGTTGCTAAACTGCATTTGAAGTTTAGAGCGATCGACCTACTTTTTCATATTAAAAGCGACAACTTTCTTGTCAACTTTCGCAAGGGAGAGACGCAGAAGCAGAGAAATTTGCATGCACACGAAAATCATTCTATGAAATTGTCGCAGGCATGGAACGGAATACCGCTATGCTGCATGCGAGATTTAGAATTTTAATCTGTCACGCTCTGTATAGGAAATTGCGCGACAATTTCTAATCTTCGTCTTCGTAATCATTATTGCATATCACTACGTTAACGACCGATTCACGAGGCGTATTTTTTTTTAAATTCATTTGTAGTAGAAAGTACAGTTATACATCTCACACATGGCAGTTTCTAACGCGATAAGTGGAAAATTGAACACTTAATAAAATAGAACTCTATTGAATGTTAACTATTTCATGTTAACTATTTCAATGCTAAATTAAATGTAAAAATCTCAATTATATTAGGGCTTTTCAGAAATTCACAGTTGGAGTAATAATATTATTTTGATTATACAGCTGAAACTTTGGATTATTATATTATATTTCTTTTTAAATTTTACTTCCAAGCTTGAAAAAAAAAAATTGTATGTATCACGTTGTAATTGGAATATAGGATTAACTAGATTCAAGGGAACTGGTTTTTAGTTCAAGTCTAATTGGCTAATTTTCCATCTCGATTTGTCTCGTGACAATATATTATTATAAATGAAGTGTCGAAAGCGAGCAACGAATAAATAATTACAAGTCGCACTATTTAATCCACATGAAACAATTGCTTTTACGTTGACGGTGAGCACAAGCATTGTCTTACCTGTCTCATTATGAGCGACAAGTGACAGGTTAGTGAATTACAATCACGTAGATAGATTATACTTTGTAATTGCGAGGTATCATCGCATAGTATTTGCGAATGTTGCAACATTAAAGCGATCTTTGAAACAGAAAAAGGAATCTGATAACATCTCTACGAACAATAAATTAATGGAATAATCAAACATGTTATTTGCGTATAATTCGGTTTAGCCGAGTTAATGCCGATTAGATGCAATTAAATCTAATTATGTACTTTCGTTCATAATTTATTTATAATGGTAATTATATATTTATTTATAATGGTATTTAAAATGGTAATTAGACGATAGTACTATAAATATTATATATAAATTACTCTTAAATTTTATTGCTAGCATCGTGTCTCTACATCGCAATTAATAAACATATTATTAATTCACTTTGATATATATTTTGCAATTACATGTATATGTATATATATATTTTTTTATTTTTAAATGATGCACGAAAAAAACTCTTCGTAAACGGGGAAATTGCCTTATGTAAATGTTTATAACAGAATATTTATTGTTCCTAGCGCATAGAGTTCAATCTCATACCGATTTAATTTTTAATCGATCGTTATACCTGACAAATATGCGCGTACGATTAGTATCCGTGTGCGCTGCGATTATGGCGGGCACGGTTTATTAGCATCAAATGGGATTAAATTGGGCGGAACATCGTATATACGATGTTTATTGATACGATGTTTATACCGAGTTACATATTGCATTTAAAGAGTCGCCTTTGAAAAGGGAGGGCCTCACCTATACGTGGCATTCGGAGCACCGGATTATATCAACTAATACGAGCAAAATGTGATTATATGCACTAATAAACTTGTTTCTGTAGTGTATCGATGAACTAGTATAGGCTTATCGGTAAACCGGTATACATGAGAACATCACGTGAAATTATTCAAGAGAATTGCAATGAAAATATTGTTATTATTATTATTTTGATTCTGAAATTAAATTTATATTAGATACAAATCATAACACAAAATTAAGATTGTTTTTGAAAATATTTTTATTTCTCCTACAATTTTAAAGTGAGCTTATCGTTTAATGAAAAAAGCTTAGTGTAAAAGAATTTGTTTGCGAATTAATTCTCCATTTTAGACGAAAAAGAGACAAAGGGATATTATTCGCATACAGGATATCTACGAAGAGACATCAACAAATATCCAAATACTATTTGCATAATATATTATTCGCAGGCACATGCGTTGACAATATACGCATACAATGTATGTAGATGTATACTAGACTTGAAACAAACGCGACATTACAAAAGGAACGTTACAAGAACAAGAATTACGTAGGTTGACGTAAATGTCCTTCGAGCCATGACTTGATTAGTCTAATATGGAAGCGACCATGGCATCGATTAATATCCTTTTCAAATCTTTTACCTTTGTCCTACATCTTTGTTCTATCCAACTAGTTTTTTTATTGAAACAAGTATTTTTTACTTATCGTATAGCATAGAAAATATTCCGATATATAAAATTATGCACATATAATTTAAATTTTCAAAACACCTCCATTTATAAAAAAATATATATACTAATGTAATGACATATAGATTTAATATTTATTTCTGAGAATGTTTGCTCAAATATTGATGGCATTGATGATTTGCTTCAATAATTGCATGCGAATTCTTTTCTTATATATATTCTCTTATTATCCGATACAAGAGATATTTTTTCTATATCAAATATATATATGTAAGCATGTTGAAACTTAAATCGATTGTATTTTGGAAACAATAAGTTTACGGATTCAGAATTTTCCTCAGATTTGATTTTCAATTTCATTCATTTTTTAATTAACTTTTTAATCTTATTTTTATTTTATATTCGACTTATATTATTTCACGCGATCACTCGGTTTTGTATTATATATTATTAAAAAATATTATGATAGCAATTGAGAAATGTTAAAGATACATCAATATCGGCGAGTAATATATTACAAATTAAAATGCAATGAATTATACGATGATCAACTTTTATGGCTTGTATAGATATTTTTGTACACAAAAGCAAGGTCGATAGCATGATATTACAAGAAACCAAGTTGTGCTGACACATCAATGATAAGATTACTTCGGAGAAGAACACCATATTTTTGAGTCTATATAAACTCAGCATATATTTGTCGTTAAATACAGCTGTTTGATTTTCATTTCATTGAGCACGATTTTCATATTGAATAAATATATACAGTTGAAAGATTAAACATGATTTATTTCTAAAACACACGATTATTAATTTCACGTAATGCGTTTTATTACATACTTCGTATACTTATCGAAATTGTAGATCGATGGAACGGTAATAATCCTGATTCGTTGTCTTTTCTCGAGTTCTGCAAACGCAAGATATTTCTCGTCTATGAGTTCACGAGCGCGAGAACAATGATGTCTCGCACCTGTCATCGTATTTACGTTTATCCAGAGCAGAAACGACGGCAATGCAATCACGTACGATGAGAAAATGCACCGGATGATTTCGTATTAAAGAGCCTAAGTATTTCTGTAATTGCGATAATTGGTACGAAAGTAACGACCAGCGGTTTTTACACTCGCGCTCGCGAACGCGATTTCGTTTCATTCATCGCCATCTTCTTTTACATTTTAGTACGCTGCTGTATGATCTATATATATGTATATGTATATGGAAATTAAATTACTCTCGTTAGACGCGCGTCCACGCGCATACACACAAAAAAAAAGTACGCGCCATTTCTTCGCCCCGTAATCGTCGAGGAAGTTCAAATGAGATCGTGGCTTCTCGCGCGCAAAAAATTTAAGTAAAATTGACAGTGTGCGTGCACGGAGTAGCGTGCTGATTACCGAGCGTTACCAATTAGATTCTCGTATTCTTGATGAAAGGCGGTAGCGATAAATTAAATGATTCTAGTATCTAGCTTCATTGATATGATCATTAAAATAATTAATATCAAATCTTCCATTCAGTATCTCCTCTCTCTTCATCTATCATTATCAATTCTGCTCTAATGTATGTGTGTGTGTGTGTGTGTGTGTATGATACGGTATTAATGGTGAATTATCGTAAAGCAGGATTAAAGGAAGAGTTACAGAATCTTGATTATGATTACATATTAAGCGAATATTTTTTCGAACGTTTCTTTTTTTTTTTTAATAGAATTTTGTGAATAATTTTTCACCAGATTTTATTATAATTCTTGTTATAAATAAAAGTTACAGCATGCGATTACGTTACCTTAATTGAACGACGTTTCTGATTTCAGACGCATGGAAAAACGCACGGAAGGCTGTCGATTTTAATCACGGTCCACCGTCTTAATCGCGCGACCTGTCGAAATGATCGACATGGTGCGATTACAAAAGAGTCCACCGTCACACACGTGAGCTTATACTTGACTCCGTTCCGCGGTACGGCCGGAGGCTTACTGACATCGGCGCGGGACGACCGGCGCGGCGAAGCGCTGAGCAGCGTAATGAGGCGCCTTCACCTGCTCGTAACGTAAGTAGAGTTTATCTGAACTTATCCCCCCGCGAGGTACGTCACACACGCGCTACGGAAGGGACAGACGTGCACACACGTACCACACTACGATGCGTGGTCGATAATCAGCCGTTTTCTTGCCTGTATGTATATGTGGAATGAGTACAAAACGGGCATTGGTTTGTAACAAACCAATCGCATGATCGCAAATAAATCGAGACTTGTATAATTCTCATAAAATTCACGAATCTAAGATGATTTTATTATTAATTATATATGATGGCTGAAACTAATATTTTATTTTTTAATTTATTTCTTAATCTTATAATTGGTATGCAATATTTTGGTAGTGCATTTGCATTTATGTGATAATCAACATCAACTAAATGTTTGTCAACGCACTCTCGGTATAATCAATATTTAATCAATATTAATTATCAATACATTGCGCTTATATAATCAGATGCAAATAATGGATCATCATGAGATTGAAATAATTAATTGTTGAATTGATTATATTGAATATTATTAATTTATAATCAAATTCCGTACCAAAAATGGTAATTATATTTACAGTAAATTAAGGACTATATGTTGAATAAAATAAGAAGTAATTAAAAGATAAATTGATTTGAGTCTAACGGTTTATATTACAACGGTTTAATAAGAAATTTTACAAACTCTGCTTCCAATTCCGTTTTTTATCTGTATATATATTACAGTTTTCTTTTTTTTTAATTAAATCAAATTAGACCAAATCTTTAGAGGCCGACTTTTTATAAAAAAAACCTAGGCCTTTTATAAAAATACACTGAATTTACAGATTTAATACGATATTATATACATATTTTATGCTATAACGAAGATAATAATATATATCAAACTCTCTTGAATATTAAATTAAAGTAAAAAATTATAATATAAACATTAGTCTCATTTAAAAATTTATTGCATACAGTTGCAAACACGGTATTATTTCATTAGATGTATCATGTATTCCCATGTAGTACCATGTATTATTGACTAGAAACTAGAATTATTGATCTGGGTGAAACGCTTGGGATAAGATAAAACGGTTTCTACGGATAGTTTCCTATCGGATACAAACGCGACAAAAATTAGTACCTAGTCAGTTTAGAGTAATATAAAATTTATCCAATACGATTTACTTCACTGGCGTCGAGAAAATGTGTACCTTTATAATTTATGAAGATTTTTACAGGTACATTTCATATGTTGCTTTTTTCAAAATAAGTGTAATTTTGTGATAATCGATGGTTTTAAAAGTAAATACTAATACAAATATAAATAGATATTATATCTTAATAGATATGATATTGAGTTGTTCGGAATGTTTATAGCAGTTTTCTCGTAAAAATCGAAGGCTGTATTTATACATTGAATGTATGTTTATTCAGTGTAATGTGAGCATGTTTTTTTTTTCAATCTATAACTTTTTTTTTGGTAATTTCACAATGGATTAGTTTCAAATTAATATTTTTATTTCGTCATTAATAGTACGATCTTCTACAGCGTACATCATTTTCAAGATTAAAATCGCCAGCTTTATCCAGCAATTCACTTATAAATGGTTGATTCTGCAACATCATCTCCAAACAGCTGATATATTTTTTGCAGTTTGCACAGCGTTTTTTTCTTTCCGGAAATAGAATAACATCAAATAACGAAAGTGCATTTCACTTACTTTTATTTTAAACAATTAAAAAAGTTACTAAAATTTAACAAATGCAAACAATTCTTGCTGTAAAATACATGTCAAAATATCACTTTACAAAATATGCTATTAGATATACATATAATAATCAACTGAAAATAATACCACTTATTTTAATCATTTAAAAATGCTACAAAATTTCCGAATAATTCAATATATAAATAAACATCAAAAATATATAAGTATAATGGATATTACATAGATTAAATAATGTATACTTATTTTTTGTTTTTGGATGTATAAACATATACTTCTTTAAATGCCGATTATTATCGAATCGATAATAGGCAAATTTTATACTATTAATCTCTTATAACGAATGTAAGAGTTATAATGTTTTAGCAAAATGTAATTATTTTTATGTCACCGAGGAGGTATATTATTATTAGAGATATTAATATTAAAGACGGCTGATATTACGGAAATAAAATAGAATTATTGGTAGAATAATAAAACATTCATGTTTGTTATTTTTAAAACAGTTACATAAAAAATCTGTTAATTTTTTTTATAATAAAATAGTGATTGGATAAATTAAAATACTCATATATAATTAAAAAGACTCGTATAATTATTTTTGATCAGCCAAAATGGTATATTATATCAGCATTTTCCAATTATCTCCAGAGTCACTAAACTCACCTGACAGTTAGAAAATTCATTCATGGCTGGCCGTCTTTAATAATAATCTCGTCGGTGTGTGAAAATAATAATTGAGAAGGTAAAACGTGTGTTATCCTTTGAACAGGTATAAAAGATCGGTACATTTTCGTTGATAACATAATGAGTGGATAAGTTAAAATACTCATATTGTTAGTTATCTTCGGTCAAAACGATCGGTAGCGTCTTCTTTAGTTATCTTCAGGCTCACCTGATAGTCAGCCTACTTGATAGTCGTGAAAATTTAATGATTGGCGTTTTTAATAGTAATCTCATTATTGCAGTCGTACATTTTACTACTAGGATCCATAGGACCGATATGTCCTTTATTTATATTTTATATACTATTTACTGACAGTGTGTATATGTGCATTTTCATCTTACCTGTCGAACGTCAGGCTGTTCTGCTGGTAATCGCAAACGTTGCAGGTACTGCATTTTGATGAGAGATCCGTTTCTCTGTCGGTCTCGTCGCATCGATCTTGATCCTTCCGATGATCTACGACGATGCTCCATGTTCGGTTGATAAGGTAGAAGAGATAGAGCGGTTTGCTTCGTCGACAGGATTGCGATCTTGCGTTTCCCATTGTTATTTCGTCGAGTCTTAGTTTATATAGCACATATACACAGCATTAAAGTAAATTATTAAGGAAAAAATTTTATATAGTTTTCTTCACACTTTTTATATATGCACGATAAATTTTTTAACTATATTTCATCCGTTTCCCGCACAAGTTTCTCTATCACACACGGAACTTTTTAATTTAGTTTGTTAACTTTTTTTTATTGTTTAATGCAGATAAGAATTTGTACGATATGTAGTCCTTTCGGAGAAAACTTTTTCTGCGTTGCAAGGATTACATGCGATCGCACGATCGACCGTGAAAACCGTGGGATTATTCTTGCGTGCCATGACCCTGGTCTTCGGTTAGAGCCGTGTAACAACTTAAGTAATAGCTTACATCCTCCTACAAATGTAGAATTCTGAAGGAAGATCTTTACGATCTGTGCCGAGTTTATCACATTTGTTTATTATTCTCAATTTAGTTTTCTGAGATACACATTTTATATCTTGCTTTATTTTTGTACTTTCTCACTCTATCTAAATTTTAGAATCAATACCTATTATTTTTTTTTTACGTGAATATTTATTTAGACCTCATTTTCAAATTTTAATGTATTTCTTTTTCTTCTACGCTAGCTGGCTGATTTCATTTCCTGTTCCGATTGTTTACTCGTTATGAACGACCATTGCATTAAACCATAAATGCGTGTTGTTCATGAATCGTTGCAGATGCATTACTAACATTGCCTATGCGATTATGTTTACATTTGCAATTACGACTCGTAAGTAACATTTACAGAATGGACGCACGCTGCACTTGCTCGAATGGCGAAGGGAATTAAAGTACACTTTTATGACGTAACTTTTATTTAGATCTCTCGCCGGAAAATGCCCATAAATTATACTCACGACATTTACGTGTGAGAATATTTTATTTTCCGTTCTAATAAAAGTCTACTTATAAGGCATTTGAGGCGATCGTTTCAATTACCACTTTCTCTTGTATTTTTGTATTTCTTTTTTGTATTTTTTTTTTTTTTTTTTTTTTTTTTTTTTTTTTTTTTTTCTTTTGATGACTCTATGTTCACCGTATTTTTTTATATCGTAAATAGTTTCTATAGTTTTTAGTGAGTATGTTGACTTTGAAAAAAAATAAAAAAATCCGAAGATTTTAATACACGATTTTTCAAAAGGTTTTTTACTCTCAAACATTTGAAACAATATTATTAAAACTGTGTTCTAATATAGAGAGCAATTTATACATTTTTATTTTAAACTTTTTGATAGGGGAGTTAAAATAAAATAACCTGATGTCATTTTGATACTTTTCTTCCACAATACCGGTGAATCGAATTGGGATTATCAAGAAAACATGCTACTAGGTTTTAAATCGTTGTTGAAATCTTAGTGATCTACTAACACATAAAAATGACGCAAGACCAATTGACAGTAATTTTTGTAGAATTGTTATTACACTTTTGTTACACTTGTTTTATATATACTTTTGGTATATTTTTTTCCAATTACACAATATTACACGGGTAACAGCAAGTATATATATAAACATTATAATGTATATATAATTATAATTATAATTATAATATATATAATTATTTTTATAATGTATATGTACATACTTTGTATATTTTATATTGTTCTCTACATGTTTAAAAAATATATTCTATCGCAGTTAAACAAAATCTATATAATTCATGTTTATAATTTGATTGCATATGATAAATATTGTAAGCTATAACAATAAATTAATACAAGTTTGTTTGTTTAAAATTAACAATATTATTTTGATATTTTTATGTTATATAATTAGTATATTAATGTGTTTGATTAATATCTTGACATTGCAATATCCTAGCCTTTCTGAAACATTTTAATAATTACACAGAAATTTTTTTTACTCACATCAACGTGTAAGACACGTTATGGACACGTGCAACAATAACTACACTAAAATATATAGCAGTGCTCTCGCCTAAGAAAATTGGAACGAAGAACAATTTCAAATACGTACAAACATAATTTAATCGAATTCTCATTTTT